CTGCGACCGCCTGTCCGCTTCTGCGGACTCGCTTAAGCGAAAAGTGTTCCGCTTCTGCGGAACTGCCCAACTCCACTCCAGACCGCCTTTGCGACCAATGTTACGCTTCTGCGGAACCGCTTATGCGGTCCATTTCCGCAGAAGCGAACATACCAGATACCAGCAAAATCTGCCATTTCCTCAACTTGAATTTCATCCCGATAGCCATCCGAAATCACCCCGAGGCCCCCGGGACCTCAACCAAAAGCACCAACATGTCTTAAAACATCATCCAAACTGGTTCCAATCATCAAAACATATCAAACAACACTAAAATCATCAATTCTCATCGGATTCAAGCCTAAGTTCTTTAAAAACTTCCGAAACTCACATTTGATCAAAACCCAACCAAATCACCTCCGAATCATCTGAAATTTTGCACACATATCCAAAATCACCTAACGAAGCTACTGCAACTCTCGGAATTCCATTCCGACCCTCAGATCAAAATCTCACCTATCAACCGGATTTCGCCAAAATACTAACTTCGCCAATTCAAGCCTAATTCTACACCGAACCTCCAAAATAAATTCCGATCACGCTCCCAAGTCACAAATCATCTCCCGAAGCTAACCGAATCACCGGAAATCACATCCGAGCCCTCTAACTCTTAAGTCAACGTCCGGTTGACTTTTCCAACTTAAGCCTTCTTAAAAGAGACTAAGTGTCTCATTTCTTATCAAAACCAATCCAAATCAACTCTAACTCACCACATACCGGTAATGAAACATGAAGAAGTAATAAATGAGGAAAACGGGGCAGTAATACCTGATACGACGGGTCGGATCGTCACAGATTTCCATTCTCCTAAAAAAATAAAAAATTGACACTACAAAAATAATACAATTAAAAAAAAATAAACAAAAGAAAGCAATAAAGCTGGGTTGCCTCCCAACAAGCGCTTGATTTAACGTCGCGGCACAACGCGAATCACTTTTTGCCTCCACCTCGAGCTTATGAATTGAACCCCCAATTTTGATTCAAGCTTATGATTATGGTCATGGGGCGGTGGAACGAATCTAACTGGCCCAAGGAAATAATGTAGTATTCTGCACTCCTTGGCCTTTGTATGAGGTATGTACTCCTGACTTTCTGGCAAGAAGAATTCCAGAATATATGCACCTTGTTCCTCATTCCTTGACTCTTCGATTGGTTTAGATGACTCTATTTCCATATCATCATCTAAACATAATGTGGAAAAATGCTTGGAGTGTGGACCAATGCGCTCAAACACATGAACTTCAGGATTCTCAACATCCTCAACAGCAGTGATACTAGAGTCAACAAAATTTATATCCTCAAAGTCCTTGGCTGGCTCTAGTCTCACTTCTTCAACATTGACATCCTCAAATTGTGGTTGGCTAGGTTGTTGATGTTCTACTCTGACCTCCCCAATTAACACCTCAAATTCATGCTCTTCTTGGCTACTATCCTCAATATTGGCTTGTTGAGCAATAAAAGCTCCAACCACTTGACTCAATTGAGCCTCCAACTTGGGAATAGTTGCCTCTTGCCTTTCTATATGCAATTGTTTCTCATTGTTTTGTTCCAGAAGGAACTTTAGCATATCCTTGATCTCCTTCAAGTTCACATTCACAGGTTCTTTGTTCATATTAACTTCACAAGAAAAGGTAGAACCATCATAGTAAGGGGTTGGGGGAAAATAAGAAATATAAGCACAACCATGAAGGTGACCATTTTTACCACCACACACATCACACACATTCCACAAATAAGATTGAGTTGGTGCACATAACTCGCTCTTAGGAACGTTTTGAAAATTTTGCCACGGGTGGTTTCCTTCACAATATGTATGGAGATCAATAGTAGAATTATCTACACCTAAATTCCCATAATTCCAAGATGCCATGTTTCTCAAATCGATAGTTATAAAAAAATACAAAAAAAAACAAAACAAAAGAAAACAAAATAAAAGTTCAAACTCGTAACCTAGCAATATATACAGCTACAACTACACCGTTAGTTCCCCGGCAACGACGCTAAAATTTGATCACGCCCAACTCTAGTCCTAAAATGGATAAGCGATCACTGCAAATATAATCCGGTCTAAAAGTCTGGAGTCGAATCCCACATAGAACTAAGATTTCGCTGTAATTGTTCAATATCGCAAAGAAGACAAGTTTGAACAATTTCTAAATTATAATATTAAGATTTTTATATCTAACTAATTAACCAACAAATACTATAAAACGGTAAAATTATCAACCAACAAGACAAAGATTTGGAGACTAAATTAAGGAGGTCTAGAGTTATGATTTTCCCAATTGTTGATTTCATTAATTGTATGTTTCTTGTAGCTTTGACTTAGTTGCCTCTATCAATCATGAACTCTCTGGCTATCATAAATCTCTCTCAAGCAATTATGATAATTTACTAGACGCACTCTCTCAAGCTACGCCAGCTAGATTCACATTACAGTTCACTTAGATCGCACCCGAGGTATCGTTATCTCTCATCCAACCTCTAAACCCTCGGTTATGACTCTCCCCTATACTTCGGGAGTGATGTTGTTCAAACAACTACCTAAATATGTACGCTCTCTCAAGCAGATACATAATAAATAAGAACAACTAATTGAGGATCCTTTCAATTAACCAAAATCAAAACGTAGTTGAACAAATAGAGATTAACAACTAACTCAAAACTATATTAATATAACAACCAATTCATCCCCAAAAGGTTCCATCAAAACCCTAGAAAACGAATTAGCTATTCATAATAGTATGTGAAAACACAATACTCCAATTCATAACCAACAATAAAATAGGAAGAAGAAGGGGAAAAACTCGTAGTTGAATCTTCCTCCTTGCTCCTAGCGTGTTCTTGCCTCCAAGGGTGTTGTCTAACCCTAAAGTAGTGTCTCTCCCCTCAAAGTGGTGTTTTAGGATGTATTTATATGACCTAGGGTTGATGAGGGGGCGGAATTCTTCAATCCAACTTCGGATGGGAGAGCTGGAATCCGCGTCTGCCTTCGCATCTAGCTCGAGCTTGGGAGATCGGGCATACCTGTTCTCTACTGTATACAATAGTCTAAAGTACTCATAAAAGTAGTATTTGTACGCAGTCGCTTTCTGTTGGTAGTAGGTTTTTATGACTAACCGTTGTTTTCTTTCATTATTGATCACCTTACTATCTTGTTGTTTTTACTCTACTTTTATATGGCTTTTTGGTAGTGTATCTTCTTGTCTATATTTTCATTAATGTAGTGCTTATACTTTCCTGAGCCGAGAGTCTATTGGAAACAGCCTCTCTATTCTCACAAGGTAGGGGTAAGGTCTGCATATACATTATCCTCCCCAGATCCCACGATGTAGATAATACTGGGTATGTTATTGTTGAATATCAGATACTGATTATAAATTAATAAAAAAAGAAAAAGAAAAAGAAAAAAGATGAATTTCACAAGAAATCAAAGGGTTTGCAACTTAATTCAAAAGAAGCCCGTGCACTTGGCACCTACCATCACGGCTTCCTTGGATTCTCCCTATTTACCCCTTAGGACTGCAAAAACTGCCAAAGCCGGCACCGAATAGGTCTTCTCTCCTTTGGATTTATTTGTGAATGACAACCTAAATTTTTACAGTACGACTACTACTATTTTCCTAGTCCTCAGCGATTTTGATGATGTGAAAGGACAACCTGGCAGACGTCAATGAAACAAAGCTTAACAACAACACACCCTTCTATCATTTAATTAATATCCTCCACCTTTCTACTTTTTCTCTTAGGTGCACTCCACTACTGTCCATACAACAATTGATGTTTTCCTTGCAAATTTTAATTTATTCCCTCTTTCGGCTCTCCTCTCATATACATAGATATTCTTCTCCAGAATCGCACAAAGTGGACCGCATAACCCGCTGGCCAGCAACACTCTTCTATCCCACAATAATTTTCCCGTCGCTAGCACCGTTATCTTAGCATCCCATGTGCCACAATCTTTAGCTAAATGTCATTCCCACTTATGTTTACAATAATCCAAAAAAAGTGTCAACACTATCCCTCCCATCCACGGCTCACATAATGCATTTTTTAGTAGCAGCAATTATCGTGCACACATCTCAACTATTCCCATAAAAGCTTACACAAAAGCAAATAAATCATTATTCTGTCGTTGTGAGAATCGAACTATAATTTACATCCCGATTAATTGAATGTCTAGGTCACACCTCCGGGTGCGATGTTGCTTTCCCTTTCCCCTCTACATACATTTCTTAGAAACCCCATTCTTCCCATTCTTCTTATACAAAAAGCCATGTTATGCTAATAAAAAAAAGAATCATTGATCAAAACCAAGCTGTTTCATACCATCTCACTATCACTATTACATACATTAACAAAAGTAGGCTGCACGCACATGGTCCATGTTCTAAGTAATACGTAGCCCCAGATACAATATAATTAACAATACATTGAAAAATTTAAAATGACAGTTTGAAAATAGCAAAATGCCTTTGGCATTTAACGGGAGAGCCCTGGTAATCCTACAAACTACAACCTAACATTCATTTGTCAAAATCTCCCATTTATTTAACTTTTTGGATGGATGTGTTATAAGTACAATTCTTTAATAATCGCATACTTCAAAAGAAAGCATTGAGTAGATAAGAGCTACACATCTTTTCCAGTTACTACTATATTTCATCTACTACCACTAGACTAGTATTATCCAACACTAACTTAAGTAGAGCTAAAAAAGAAAAAAGTGTAATGCATACAAATTATAGTATAGTATTTCTGTCTTTTAATTATTTATATGCCACTCATTAAGTGTCGGTCATTTATCTAGCTGACTTCACAGCAGATATACCCTACTTGCTACCGTACCTACAATCTTAGAGCTTCCAAATACTAATTAAAAGTGTAAAATTAAGCACAACCACCAAATTTAATGTAATTGAAATCAAATGGAGCAAGAGTACAGCCTGATTACAGGCAAATTGAGCTCAATATCATCTGTAATCCCTTTTTATTTCAAGCTGCACGAATAATAGAATAGAATACAAATCGTCTCTTCTGGTAATCATAATGTTCATATGTTAAAATCAAAATATAAAAGAAGGAAGAAAATTTGAACGAAATAAATTGAGTAGAAAAATCGGAAAAAATTAGAGAAGTTAAAAATCCCCAATAAATTGAACCAAATTAAAAATTAAAAAAAAAAGTTACTGGAGGAATTTACCGGCACAATTCACGTCGAGAATCCATACAAATCGTAGGGTGCCCATAGAGAATCAAGCGGACACGGTTTTTTTGAGTCGAGCCGGAGCCACGGTTTGCCTGAACCACTCCAGTGGAGTAAGCTCACCGGACCGGGATGCAAGTCACGGCAACTTCCCTTCACATTATCGCCGCCTAACCCGTGCTGGTTCCACCTGTGCTCTATCGGCGCCACGTGTCCTGCGAAGACCAACATTAGCGGCGGTAGTGAACCCAGCTCATAGATCCGATTCGTCTTCTGGATATCCATCCATTTCTCTATCCGTTTTGTGTACCCGACCCGCCTCCATTTCTTCAGATCTATAACCATAACCCCCGTATTAAAGTAACACGGTCTCCTGCCGTTGAACGTTCCGGAAAATCTCGGTTCCGACCAAAACGACGCTGTGAAATACTTCGTGAAATTGGCATGACAATATTCCGGGGCTCCGATAGTTTTTTTCCCCAAACTCGTACTCCACAACTTCGAAATATCATCCACAACAACAAGATCCGAATCCAAGTAAATAACTCTATTGACACAGGGTTCTAGAAGATCCGCCAAGTAATTTCTAGCATAGTTTAACGGCTGTTCAAGCGCTTGTCTAACGGAAGTGGATATAATATTTCGGACTCGGTCCGGGTCAAAGTAATATACCTTGAATTTTAATTCAGGGAATGTGGATCGAACTAGGGTTTCGAGGTTTGTTTCAGAGACCAGAAAGTGGAAGAATACACTCTCGGGACAACTAGAATGTTGTAGAATTGAATGCACAGCGGCTATTGAACCACGAAGATACTCGATATCGAGAGTAATTGCAACATGAACCAGTGAAGGATCGCAAACCTCATTGGTCCCCAATATATTGGAGGTGCTGCATTCAGCGGCATTTCGGAATACAGGGGATTTACGGAAGGAGAAGCGATTAGGGGGAGCAATTTGACTGGGGAATCGGAGATAGGAATCGAGGTGAGAGGATCTAATAGCTTCAGCAGGTGGGAATGATTGTAGGGATGGGGAAAGAACAATCATTACCATTGCTGCGGCGATAAAGCCTGAAAATTTCGTGACCCAGAACATTTTTACAGTGTAGTAAAAGCCTCTTTTCCTCCTTTTCTTCTTCGTATCGTAACGACTGCTCAGCAGTGAAGGAATTGAGGAAAAGAGGAATGCTGCTAGGGTTCTTCTAAGGTCCGCCACAGCTAAAAATCCAATCTTGGAAGATGGACTTTTTCTTTTTTAACCTTATTTGGGTTCTTTGCTTTGTTTTTTTCTCTAATGGTATACCGTGAAGACGAAGCGAACTTGGAATGGAGGGAAGGTAGAGAGAGGAGAATCCATGCGTTGGTCGCTCTGTGGCGACGTGCGTTGCAGTCTGCTTTCTCTTACTCTCTCTCTATATTTGGGAGAGAAGGCGAAAGCAAAAGGGCAGGGTCACACAGCTCTAGTAGAGAGAGAGAATGAGAATAGAGAGGGGGAGAAAAGGGGAATTTTAGGTTGTTATTAGGGAGGAGGGTTTTTAATTAGGCTCTCTTTTTATTTTTGGACCTTTTTTTTCTTTTCTTTTTGCTCTTTTGGGCTACAGCAATACATATTTATGAAAAAAGAATGTGGTGTTTAGTTATTCTCTAGAAGTGATTAAAATGGTCTTATTTGTCAGAGTGTTTTATTTTGTTCCCTGAGTAATCTTACTTAAAACTTAAAAGTCAACCACTATGCATAAATTACATGGTGAAACTAATCAGCCTAAATTGAATGTGTTAAATTCTTCATACTGTCTATGAATACAAATTAAATTATTTATATCCTCCTTCACATACAACCTGATTTGGGAGTAAAATAATACATTGAGAATATCAATATTTTTCACTTCTGAATGTGCTTCTTACCCCAAGCTTAACTATAAGGAGTTTGAAGTGGCTCAATAGGCATGATTTGATGTGAATAAAGATAGTAGTCTTACTAATAAGTTAAAAATAAGGAAATATCACTTTTAGTCCGTGGTTAAAACTATTTATATTCGATAGTTACAAAAATTTATACTATAGAGAAATGTGTATGTATATACAACTAAACAAACAATATATATTTTTTCGACTATTATTTTGAGGACGACTATACAATATCATTTTCCTTTAAAAGTATGTCTGGAGCCATGTTAGTTGTTCGATCGGCTGAATTGAAGAAAGAGGCGTAACAATTTTTGTATAAGTAAAATGCAATTACAACCTCCAATATTATGTGATAATTTTGGATAAAGACTTATGGAACACCCTTATACAACTTAGGCATATTTTGTATCCCTACCAAATTTACAAATTGACTATATCTCATGCACCGCTAGTATTTGTAAACTATGCACGGAAAATTTTACAGCGAAAAATAAAAATAAAAATGAAAACAATGCTAAAACACAGGAAAAATTTGTTGTTTAACAAAGTGCTACACTATCCACAATTTACCGCAAGCTTGATATTTCTTTTTAATGGTGGCTCTATCTATTCTCCAAATTCATATTTCATGATCTTATGATAATGAAATAGAGAGTAGGTGGTTCCACAAGGACCTTAATTATGATGATGAATTAGTAGATGGTGTTAAGCTTCCCTGTAGCGCAATGTAATAATGGTCTCATTAATTTCATTTGAGCTAAAAAATAATAAAAAAATCATTCGAGCAGTTTCGTGAATGAACTCAAATATTTGATTTCAAACATTGATTTCATTCTCCATTCCGTTAAGACTTGATTCCAACATACCACTCGAGCCGTGGGTATATTGCGTTTTGAAATTGTGAACAATTAATCGGGTCAGTAAATTCGGATACCAGATGGTTAAATTTCAACAAAAAGGTGATGAAAAATAATAAAAATTGCATCTTGACAACCAAGACGATTGTCAGTTTAAAATTGTAGAAGGAAACTTATCTGTCTGGAGTGAAACTCTGCTAAAATTACTATATAGTGGAGTATCACATTGAAGCAGGGCCGGCTCTATGGCTGTCCAACGGGACGGGCCGGCCCGTCCCGTCCCGCGTCCCGTCCCGTCCCGTCCCGTCCCGCTTCAAGTTAAATGGGATGGGCCAATGTTAAACGGGACACGGGACGGCCATTTCGTCCCGTTTGTCCCGTCCCGTTTCGTCCCGTCCCGTCCCCCGTCCCGTCCCGCGTCCCGCCAGTTTTTTTTTTTATTTTTTTTAAAGAACTATCCGTTGGGCAACGGCTTAAATGGCAAAAATAGCCGTTAACGGTCCAAACAGCCCCTACACCCCCCAAAACATCCCCTACCCCCCCTCCCCCCCAAACTTTTAATATAACCCCTAAGTTTATTAAATTACACTTTGGCCCTATTTTCTACTATAAATACCCCCATTCTTCTTCATTTTTTCCCACAAAAAATCAATCTTCGTGCTATCTGTGAAAAATGTAAGCAACAATTTGCACACTCATTGAGTGGTGGGACGGGGGGTTTAACTAGACACTTAAGAAGTGCTCACAAAGATTTATGGATACAAGCTAACATAGAAGCCGGAAAAATTATAGATCCTACCATCAGTTCTGGCACTCCTAGTGGATCTGGTTCTAATCAAATTCAACAACAATTTGACCCTGCTTCTGGTCATGTTTTACGCAAATATAACAAAGATAGAGATCGTGAGAACTTAGCAAAAATGGTGGTTGTCTGTGGCTTACCTTTTACTTTTCCTTCTCACCCTGCTTTTGTGCATTATATACAAGAAACTTATAACCCTGCTTTTCAAGGTTTTCCTAAGACCACGGTTAGAAATGATGTTTTTAAATTTCAAACTGAATATCTTCAGTATATTCGTTGTGTATGTTTTCACTTGGATTGTGAAGTGTCTATCACATCTGATATAGGTCGTAGTCCTAATGGTTGTGATTATTTAACTGTTACATGTCATTGGGTTGATCATCACTGGAACTTGCAAAAACGTATTATTGGTTATAAATTTATTGATTCAAAACACACTGGAGCATATATTGCAACTACTGTTCTACAAATACTTGATTTTTATGGACTTGTTAATAAAGTTCTAACTATCACCTTAGATAATGCGTCTGCTAACACAACCGCGGCAAATAGCTTAAAATCTAGACTTTGTCCAATTAATCCAATAATTTTTCATGTTAGATGTGCATGCCATATTTTTAACTTGGTTGTAAAAGATGGTCTTAATTTATTTTCTGATGCTTGTAGTAAAATACAACATGCTTGTGGCTATATTTTTCGTGCTCATAAACAAAGTAGAATTCGTGAATTTGCTCAACAATGTGCTAGTGCTGGCCTTCCATTTAGAAAAGTTCCAAAAGATGTTTGTACTAGGTGGAATTCTACTTATGAAATGCTTACAATTGCTTATGACTATCGGGTGCCCATCCAAAAGGTATTTAATATGCATAATGCTTACCCTGTTGATCAAATTGTTGATTCTGATTGGGATGAGATCAGAGAGCTTACTAAATTTTTAGAAAAATTTTATTATGCTACAAAACAATTTTCTGGTATATATTATCCTACTATTACACAAATATTATGGTATATTTGTGGAATTTCTGTTGTATTTGGTAAGTATAAAAAAAATCCAACTTATGCACCAGCCATTAAAGAAATAATTTTAAAATTTAAAAAGTATTTTTTCCCTATTCCCGAAGTTTATTTAATTTCTACACTACTTAACCCATCTTTAAAACTAAGAGGTGCAAAGGGACTTGTTCGTAAAATTTATGAGAATTTAGAAATTCAAGAAAATGAACAACCATCTCTCGAAAACTGCCAAGCTAGCATATATTCTTATGCTAGATCAATGTTTGATAAATATAAATCTATGGATACAACTAGTACTGAAACTGCTCCTTCTACTTCTAAGTCTGGAGCAGAAGTTTTATGGGAAGATATGGATGATATAACAGGTTTTGATTCCTCTATTGATGATGAACTTGATTCTTATCTTAATCAAGGATTGGAAAATATTAAAGACGAAGAAGGCAAGGAACAACTTTTGTCATGGTGGAGGGAGCGTGGCAAGGCTTTTCCAACACTTTCAATTATGGCCCGAGATATCCTGGCTATTCAAGCATCATCAGTAGCATCGGAGAGTGCTTTTAGCGCGGCAAGATTTCAAATTGGAGATCATAGACATTCATTAGCGGAGGACAGTCTAGAGATTTCCGTCTTATTCAGAGATTGGATTAATTCAGAAAGAAGAAATCGTGGTTTTGAGAAACTAACCACTAGGGAAGAAGAAGAATACAATTAGATACTTACCACTGGGAGCGATGACGGCATGGAGCTCATGGAACATCAATCAACATTGCCAATTCCAGTAGAATGTCCAAGAGATATTATTGATAAGTTACAAAGAAGCTATATAGGAGCTTACAAATATTAGTATGATAATTTGTAATTGGCTACTAAGAGGCCTAGTTCAAAAAGAACCCTTCCTAGAAGGTGGCTGCGTAGAATAGGTGCTCTTCAAAAGAATTATATTTGTATTTGAGATTTGAAAGTTCTATTAATAAAATAAAAGGCTCTAAGCGATGAATTATTTTTATGAATTGTCTTAGTTACTTAAACTTTGAAATTATATTAAATAAATTATAACTCTATTATAAATTTATATTTACTAGATTATTTCATTACAAGTCTTTTGTTTTAATATTTTACAATTCTTTACTTAGTTTTCTAATTTTCTTTTTAACATACTAACATAGTAACATTTAAGTTTATTAAATAAGTCAAAAATCTAGCCGTTGCAAACTTTAAAAATATAGTAATTTTAAAAAAACTAGACGTTTTTTTATTAAAAAAATACACTTAAGGCCCACGAAACCATCCCGCCCGTCCCGTTCCGTCCCGTCCCATCCCGTCCTATCCCGTTTGTTAGCGGGACGGGATGGGACGACCGTTTGTCCCGTCCCGTTTCGTCCCGTCCCGCCACCGTCCCGCTTAAATGTCGTCCCGTCCCGTCCCGTCCTGTTAATTTCGTCCCGTCCCGTCCCGTTGGACAGCCATAGCCGACTCTAATGCCTTGTCTAATAAGGCGTTTGCCTTAGGCCCCCAAATTTGGGGGCCCTCGTTTTTTAGAAATAATTGGTATATAATAATTTAAATAAAATAAAATATAGAGTTTTTAGTACAAAAGTAGACTTTTTCATATGAAACAAAAGAAAATTTTCTAGATATTTAAATAAAGTAACTATTTGGCTTACTTTAAAATGGATAGTATGAAAATATTTTCTAACGTGTGAATTGAAATTGATTTGACAAGAAAAAATAGTACAAATAGAAGATATTATATACTCAATCAAATAAAACGGCTTGATTCTTTTCCAAATATTTATATTGTTTATAGAATAATGTTATTAGTTCCTATAACAGTTTCCTCAGTGATAATAAGTTTATCAAAATTAAAATGGATAAATCTTAGCTAAGATAAATAATGTCACTAGAATAATTAAATGGGTTGGCTATAATATCAAT